AAAAATGTGACATATTTCCCCATACATCTCCCTCTCCATTCCAGACCCCCAAAAATATCCTCCATTGGCAAAATCGGCATGCCTCTCCACGACACGCGTCAAACTACGCACCATTGTCCGTGTGGCCAGTGATGACTAAACTGTTGCTGGCGTCTGTTGTGATGGTTTTGATGGGCATTCCGAGACGGGGGAGGTAGTGTCTGCGGTCCTCAGGCAGGAGCCACTTGACTAACACACACTCGCCTCCTCCGCTGTACAGTTCATTTCCTGGGAAGGAGAGAATGCGGGACTTTAAGGTCGTATCTTTATGGGGTAGAACGATTCCTCAGCACTTTTAGTTTGTTAAAATGGTCTCTTCAAATTATTAATTTCCAGAGAAGGAGAGAATACGGAACTTTTAATTAAGTCATATCTTTAAGAGGTGGAATAATTCCTCAGCACCTTGAGTTTATTAAAATGGTTTCTTGGAATGATTTATTTCCTGACAGAGAGAGAATAAAGAGCTTTAAGTTAAGCAAAATAAAGTCTTGTCTAATGATGAATTAATGAAGCAGAATAATTCCTTTGCCTTATAACAATATGATTACTTCAGACTTTATGCTTCATTGGAATAATTTTGCAAAACTAATTTGTTAAAATAATTTCTCTGAACTTTATAATACTAATACATACTAAACTAAAATAAACAGGGCAAGAGGAAGTTAAAATCAAACTTGGCTCGGTATTACTCAGTCACTGCTGAATTTGATACTTCTCAACCATCATAGTTATTCGTGACAATGACCGAAGTAACTGGTAAAAGGTATCCTATAACTTTTTTCTTTTTACTCCGTACTTTTTTACCAACTATAACAGATGAAATAATTGGTAAAATACATAATTTTGTCGAACATTTTCTACCGTCCTCTACAGAAATCTTGGACAAATTAAAAACACGAGTCCCCCCCTTACCTAGAACTGAGAAAGCAAGATCCTCGACGGGCAGCGTGTGCCAATGGAGGATTGTCTGTGCGGGAACTGTATTCGTCAGGTTGTACCAGAGCACGATGCGGCCGGTGATGTCTCCTGTCGCCAGCATCTCCTGCTGGGGATTCCATACCAGACAGGTGAAGGGCCGAGTGCCTGCCATGTGTCTGGAAAAGAATCAGGTGAGACATTCAGATGAAGATGAGGAGGAGATGAGGAGGAGGAGGAGGAGGAGGAGGAAAAGGAAATGGAAGAGAAGAAGACAAAATAAGGACACAAGGCTTGGTAACAAAAAGCTTTCTATCCATAAATATACTTTCACAAGAGCAAAAACAAAAGGCTATCAATCTGTGAAACCTCACACGACTAATCTTTTAAGATATGAGAATCTATATCCATAAAAAATTAGCAAATGACTTGATCTAAAGTACTATAAACTAGAAATACCCCCACAGATTTATAAGACACCAGTGGACACAAAGAAAAATATGGGGGGGGAAATGATCAAGAAGTAAAACTAGTATAAAGGCACTATAATTACCTTAACACTGCCTTGCCTGCAACTGTGCATCCATTGCCTGCGATGGAAAGGCTGTCTGCAGTGAGATATGCAATGTAGTCATCAGTGTGTGAAGCACCCATCTGTGGGAACAAAGGACCTTTACTATGAATAAAAATAAAGAAAGGCATTCTGCAAGCACTCTTGCAAAATATCTATGCACATGTTACTGTAATAGCACAGCCCCCACTAGTAGTATGTTAGATGATGGGTCTTCATGTGCCTTAAGCAACCATCCAATGAATCAAAGGTTAACACGCACCCTTCCCTTTCACACTCTGCTTCTCCCCTCGTCCTACCTTGCCCTGTCCCAGCTGCACGTCCTTGGCCAGAATCATCGGGCTTCCCTTGCCGAACGGCCGCGAGAACTTCATCAGTAGGCCTTTCTTCTTGCTATTTTTCTTCACCAGGAGGAGAACCTGTTGGCACTCCTTCAGTACCTGGAATGCCACAACCTGCCCTGCGTTCTGCGAATCCTCCTCCAGGAGCTTGACTTTCTGCGGGGGAGAGGGAAGGATGTGAGCAGAGTGGTTTTTATATTTATTTATTTTGCTGGTTTGGGGAAGTGGGAATATAATAGCATCTTGTGAGTTTGCAATATCTGTGCAAAAACTTTAACTGAATCACATGATCCCTTAACCTGTGCAATATGTACTATGCACCACAAAGTCAGGTTAAAGTAGATAATTCTTATTCAAACCACTGAAAGAGTAATCTTATATAACTTCCTTGAATTTTAACAGTATTAATAGTCTTACATAACACTGTACTAGGTAATCAAGCTTCCTTAAGCAGAGTCACTTTACCCACCTCAAGACATTCTTGTTTTTCTGAGGACCATGTGCGCATCTCTCCTTTAGTATCACAAGTGATGTACTGGTCGCCATGTTGAACAATGCCTATCACCTGTAAATATGAATGATGCAAATTAATTAATGGCCATGTCAGCAAGCATATGTGGAGACATATTTTTTC